ACAGAACCTTGCATGTTTTAATTTAGCCAATGTATAGGATAAAAGAGATGGCATAATTAAACTTATCATCATGGCACCTGATTGATAAAAATGAGACTACATATATTCAGAAAAGCAATAGAGATCTTAGCTCTGAGATAGCCTTTGAACTGGTACTAGCTGGCTCTTTGGAAAATCCCAAGATAAAAGTGTATGTATGATCCCAAATCCAGATAAATTTGTATTATTTTATTTCCAGGTCCCTCGGTCATATCTCTCAAACTAAAAATCAGTACGTATCTGTTCATACATGAACAAATTATACAGAAAATATTTTGCAAATATGTTTCTTTCCCCACAGTATTGTTTCCTCAAAGATCTTACCTAAAAATTTAAATAAAACTTGTAAAAAAAACAAAGTATCCTACTCAAAGCAAGTATGTCCATGGGAGATGCAACTGACAACTGGGAAGTGGGAAGGAGCCTGACTCCCAGCATCAATCCCACCAGCCACCACAGCCCTCTTAAATAGCATCTTAGAATCTGTTCAAAAATCATGGATTCAAATTCAGATGATGGCTTAATTTAAACCTTATGTGGATTCACAAGCTGCTTGCAGAAGAAGAGTTCTTTATTTATTGGTTAACTGCGAGAAATGCCATACTAAATTGAAAACTGCTTAGATTATTAGAGAGGAAAGCATAATACTCTTGCTTAGATTATTAGAGAGGAGAGCACAATACTCTAAAACAAGTACTTCCATCCCAAACTGTGTGTAAGGACAAAAAAGGGTAGGGGGCAACCTGTTCAATAAACATTTCCTCAACAGACATTTTGCCCTGGACAAGTAGAAAAACTCAGAAATTTGTCTTGACAAAAGAACTCTCATGTAATCTTTTCATTACACCATATAACTCTGAATTCATTTTTAAACTTAGTAAATATTCTTTAGAACATCTAGACAGGTTCTGTTTTTGCAAGATAAGCATAATTGAGTATTAATATGTCCCTACTGTTTCAATGTACAGGAATAAAGTATAACTTTTCTGCACAAACTTCAGTCACACAAGTGACGATAGCTTTTTTCTTTTAGTTATAAAGTTAAAATATTTAGTAGGAAAAGAACATTCAATGCCCTTGTCTCTCCCCTTCACAAAAATGTTAAACTAAAAATCTTAGTATTGGCATCAGTGAATCCCATCTGTCCAAGGGGTCTCAATAATTTTGAAGACCTTTCCCTATTTACCAAATTAGTTGGTATTAGAAGTCATTATCAATAAAAAGCCATTATTTTTGTCATCCTCTATTTCTATGGTAAGGATGAGCAAAGCGTCTGGTTTTTTTTTTTTTAACTACTACAATAAAACTTTATCACAGCCCTTAACAAATGCCAAAGTATTTTCATACCCTTTATCTTCCATACCTGCTACCAATACTGGAGCTAAACTGCCTAATTCTGGTTTCTGCTACCTTGTGTGACACTGAAGAAGTTATTAACCTCTCTGTTCCACATTTTCCTCATCTGTAAAGTAGGGATAATGAGAATTCTTATACCTATAAGAACTACTACAAAGATTAAAGTCATATAACTAAATACTTCAAAGTGTGCCTAAAATATACTACTTCCTATAAAGGTGTTAGCTCTTTCTAGAAAATTATTATTAATCATATCTGTAAAGACAGGGCAGCAGATTATCATTTTTCCCTTTAAGACAATCAAAGCTCAAAGAAATTGAGATATGTACTATACTTCTAAAGATCACAATCACTCTTCAACATTTAACACTCAGATTATGGGTAGTGAAACTGAAAAATGAAGCTTTTATCCACAAGAGCTGCATTTACTTTACATATTTTAAGAGAAATGAATCAGACTTCTAAAAAAAAAGGATGCAGTAAACAAGTACACTAACTAGACAAGGTGAACCTCTCCAGGATTTAGAATTGATTTTAAATAGCAAAATGTATACCCCATGAAATTTCACTATTTCTGGTAGAAATAGTATGGAATTCAGAGTCAAAATTCAAATTCTAGTTCCATTTTTATAAGTAGGGACATCGGATGATCACATCACTTCTCTGGGCCTCAGTTACTTATCTATCAAATCAGGACCTACTTTACAGGGCTGATATGAGAAGTAATGGAAATGTGTATGTAGAACAGTCTTATTACTATCAAAACTGCACCAAAACATATTAGATTTAAAATTCCTGATTGAAATTATATTAAGACATACACTGAATAGGCATTCATTTACTTTTTTCATTAACCATTTTCTTCCTTAGAAAAAGTCTTCCATTGTAGTATTGTTTTAAATATTTATTGTGTAATTATGTAAGGTGACAGTTTGGATTACTCACTGTGATTCAAGTGAAAGAAATTAGGTAACCTGCATAGTACCTACTTTAGTATCACACACTGAAAGAAGACTCAAAAGCAGAGCATGAGAATTAAGAGAACAGATGCCAGGTATGGTGGCCCATACCTATAATTCCAGCACTCAAGAAGCTGAAGCAGGATATACACAAGTTCAAGGCCAGCCTGTGCTACATAATGAGATTGAGACCACCTGAACCCAACATAGCAAAACGTCTCAAAAAAAGGAGTTTTAAAAAAGAAGAGAACAGACTGACAATCATATGCATTTTCCTTTCTGATTTAAAATTAAAATTAGTAAACATGTCCATTAAATCACAAGGAAACTGTGGACATACACAGTACAAAGTAATCTGTAACACATTATACATGTTTTCAAAACATATCTCATAGAAACATAATTAACATCACTCTCCTTATTTACAGAATATTTTAACATACATAAAACATACACTCTTAGGAAAGTTCTTTAACTTTAGTATCAAAACATAACAAATGAAGAAGTCACACAACATAATAATGTCCCTGTTTAGAGTAACTACATTTATGATTCTGAGTCAATGGGTACAAAAAGAAAAATTTAATGCAAAGAATATCTGCAACTGCAGAATACAAGCTTGCTAGAAATAAATTAGCTATTTAAAACTAATATTTTTAGGCTGAGGGTATAACAATGGTAGAGTGCTTGCCAAGGACACGCAAGGCCTTAAGTTCAATCTCCACTAGTACAAAACAAATAAATAATATTTTTAAGCAATGTATTTAAAATGTATTCAAAATACTAAAAAGGAGTAATAGTATTTTAAGATTAAACTTTTAGTAATTTAAGCATTACAAAGTATTTCAAAAGAATTTTTTTGTTTACTAGTATGAAGTTAAGTCAGTAATTATCAAATTACACAAAACAATATAAAATATATACAATACTAAAACTAGTTCAAACCCTTATTGTTCAAAAAACCCTGCTGGGTGTGGTGGCACACTCCTGTAGTCCCAGCACTTGGGAGGCTGAGGCAGGAGGATCACTGTGAGTTTGAGACCAGCCTGGGCTACATAATGAGCTCCAGAGCAGTCTGAACTACACAGTGAGACCCTCTCTCAAAAAACCAAACCAAACCAAACAAAACAAACCCTAGAAAAATTCAGTCCCTCAGATAGACTACCAAAAATAAACTATAACAATTTAGTGTGATAAATTTAATTTAAATTATTTATGGTCAAGTTCCATCCCCCATACCAGAAGAATAAAATAAATTATGTTCTATGGATTGGTAAAGCACTAGACTGTATAAAAGAAAAGCTACTCAGAATAGTGTACTAGACAGAATCCAAAGGAAAAAATAAAGTTTTAACAGCAGTACAAGTTACCAAGCACCTATTTACCAAGCATATAAAATTTGTGCCCACTATTCCATTCAAAAAGTGAAATCAGATCCATCTTTTCAGAAGCATAAAACTTAAAAATCTTAATAGAAATAATATGGGTATAAAAAACAAAGTGTTTTTTTTTCTACACCAAAGTCAGACAATATCTGACTTAAAGGTGGAGAAACAGTACATGCTTTTCATGCTTATAATCAATATGGGATTTTTTGGTCATTTTTCAGTTACAGTGATGGATTGGTTATAATTTTACTTACATATGGTATTCAAGGAGGTTTTTATAGACATGAAACACAATGAAGCTATCTGGCCCAATAAAAAATGATTTGAATTGATAAAGTCTACAAATGAAGTGTTAGATTAAGCACTAAATACCTCTGTGCCTTTGGAAGAAAAACCATTAATATTTCCTAGCCTTCTAACATTTATTATGCCTTTTGGTAAATTATTAAAATTTTCTAGGTCTGTTCCCTCATCTGCAAACTTTCAGAGCTGGATCAGACCAAAAAGCATCAGGCTCAATGCTTCTCAAACTTTTAAGTGCAGGTCCTTGGGCCTACTCCCAATGATTGAGAACCTAAGCTGCTAACTGAGTTGAAACTTAAGAAGCTAAATGTTTCCTAAGCACCACATGTAATTTAAATATACAGGCAGAAACACTAGCTGAACAATCTCTTATGTTCCTAACAAAAGAACTGGTCTCAGTGCCAAACTCTTAGGAACTCAGGATCTAGCAGATCCACATGTACAGGACAAAGTAAATACTAAACAAAAATTATAGAACAAAAGAAAGGGAGAGAGAGGTCAGGTATGTATGGGGGTAGTATTTGCTAGTTAAGTGGTCATATTTTGGGCCAAGAAACATACAAAAATGGTAGCAAAATTAAACTGGGGTACAATACTCAACATTCATCAGCAGCTCAAAAACAAGGATTTCAGTCTCTGTACAAATACAACTTTAAATATAACATGAGCCTTATTATTCTCTTCTCAAACAAGCTGCAAAATACTAAGGCAGTAAACAATATAGTATGATGTGTAAGCCAAAAAAATTTTTAAAGAAAATTACTGGATGACTAAAAAAAAATTACTGCTTTTTCCAGGTAGAAGAAAACACAGAATTTTAGGGCAGGGATTAATTAAACTTTGAAGTTACTGATTACTAATATGCACAAATTTCATTTGGCATAATATAAGGATTCTAGAAATACTGTTTACAATTAATTTCTATCCATTTTGTTGCATTTTCCCATTCACTTACATTATAATTTTTGAGATGTTTTATCTTCACTTCTGATGATCTTCAAATGCCAATGGCTCTTAACACATTAACTGTAAATAAACACAAAGGAGCTTAAGGGAATTCAGATATGTATTTAAGGAACCCTGGTATCACCTATTCTAAATTACTGTAATGTGTGGAAGGCAGAAGGGAAGGAACGGAGGCTTTGGTATTATTTACCTGTTTCATAATTTATCTGATCTTCAAAATGAAAAACTTTCTTTTAAATAAAAATTATATTACCCTCATAATTATCAGACACAGAATAAAAACACCCTATTTTCTCTCTGAAGAACATTCAACACTAGAGAAAATTCTCTTGAATGTGAACTCCCAAACTCTTACTGCCTTATTTATCTTCCTTCTTCTGCATAAAAATATGTCAAAAAGACTCTACATCACTACCATCCAATCAATCTGCCCTGGGACTGCCATCAAACTATAAACATAGGTCTAGACATGGGGCACCAGATCTTCAGGCAAAATCAGCTCTTTAAAGCACATAAATCTTAAAGTGAAACAGACCTGGATTCAAATGTCAAACTATTCTCTCTAGTCTTCAGATTTCTTATATGTAAAACGTGAAAAGCAATACTACTATACAATCATGAGTATTATGTGTGAAAACATACAGAAGGAATTTAGCACCTTACTCAGCACATAAGCCCACAATCTATGTTAACTGCTATTTTTATATTATGTATTAAAATTAATCTGTTGATTTATTACTATAACAACTAGGATTTGGAAAGCAAGCTTATCTCAGGTGTTTCAATATTTAGTTACTGCCTTAGGTATACTGGAAGAATATTTCTCATATTAGTAACAGGATATCTGCACCATACAAAAATTAGTTTTTACTTTTGCAAGTATCTTTACTGAATTACAAAAAATTAGTACAAAATAATTATTATAACTATTAAGGACCAGTTATTTCCCCTTTTACTAATGCACAAACTCCTGATAAAACTCTGCATGAACAACACCTCATTTGCTGTTGTACAGAAAAAGCAATTCTGCTGAGAAGAGTTGGATGTATTTATGACTTAAGTTTATTAAGCTCTCTGAGTATGATTAATAAATTGTCCTATCAATCCAGAAGACTTATCTACCCTTCTCTACCCATTTCCAAAAATTAAACACCTTGTGTTCGAAATTACATATTTAAACTATTAATATTTAAGTCAGGTGCATGAAACACTGGTATCTCTGGATTTTCAATAAAATTTTTAGTTCAACAACATAAAAACAAACATGAAATATGTTGACAGAAGCATTTATAAACTAACATGGCAAAAGACAGCCAAGTTTATTTCCCATATGGAGAGCACATGCTTAGAACTGAAACAACAGAAAAGTAACAAAGTAGAACCTAATGCAGTACTCTGGGAGGAAATAAAACACATATATATGATTGTGAAATGGACAACAAACCAGAGAAAGTGAAAAGTCATTACCACCACTTTGCCATGCAATTTCTCAAGCTCTTCAAATGAAATATAAAAATGAAATAACACAGTTGATCATTCCTCATTTGATTTTTATTTGCCTGGCATGTAACCATCTAGCTATATTACCTCTATCACTTTCACTTCATACTTCTAGATTAGGATTATGAAAATCTGGCCCAACTAATAGTACACAAAAAAGTTAAATTCAAGACTTCTCTGTTTCAAAATACAGGTCTCACCAGATGTGGTAACACATACCTATAATCCCAGCACTTCAGAGGCTGAGGCAGAAGAATTGCATAAATTCAAGGCCAATCTGGACTAAATAGCAAGTTCAAGGACAGCCTCAATTACATAGTGAAACCTTATCTCAAAAAAAAAAACAACAAAAAGCGAAATACAAGTCTCTTTTTCGGTTTACCATAATATAGCACCTCTCTCCTTCAGCGTAATTATGTAATTATTACTTTGGTCATCATATCTGCAAATCCAAAAGTGTCTCTGGTATAAATGAAATGTCCTAGATTTCAACTGGAAAATTTCTTTATTTTTAAATAATTCACTTGCATACTATCAGAGAAGCTGACTGTCTCCAATACCCATTCTCATCTATTCCTTAGTAACAGTCTCTAATTTTTAGCTCAGCAGAAGGCTTTATGGAAAAGATTTCATGTCTTAGTCTCTCGTGAGGCTATTCATAAACATTGGACCTTACAAGTGTCAACAGGGTGTAAGCCTGAAAACTGTATGTGAGTACCAAAAGTGTCCTTAAAGAGAAGTATTATGTCCTTTTTTACCTTTCCCATGAAGAAGCAATAGCTAAAGCTCAAACAGTAATTTTGGTTCATGAGGTTAACTGTAATACTTAGATCCATTATATCAGATCTGTATTTATCTAACTAAATATCTCTTGTTTTAAAACAGTGTTAGTCTGGATTTTCTGTTATATTCAGCTAAATGTGAAACCTAAAGTAAGGGCTAAGGGTATAGCTCAGTGGCAGAGCATTTGCCGAGCTTGTACAAGGCCCTCGGTTCAATCTCCAGCACAGCAAAAAAAACAGACTTTTCCAAATATGAATACTTTTTTTGAATGTTTTTTGAAGCTTATATGTTAAAGGATATGCTAAGTTCATTTTTGTTATATTTAAAACAGTACAGTATCTACCCTTATTTAGTCTAAATTAAAAAGTATTTAGGGCCAGGGATTTAGCTCAGCAGTTCCGCCGCCTGCCTTGCAAGTGCAAGGACCCGAGTTCGATCCCCAGTATGAAAGAAAGAGAAGAAAGAAAGGAAGGAAAGAAAGAATGAATGTATAAACCCAAGAGTAATTCATATAAAAAAAAGAGTATCTGAAAGAATAAAAAGGCATCAGTGGTTACTGCCACAGCTCCTAAGTACACACTTAGTCAAAGGAAGAAGAATGACATCTGCTCTTCAATGGTATAATGATGACAACATTGATATAACTACAGATAAGCACAAATACAGTTCTGTATAATAAAGCTAAGGAAAAGAAATTGAGGTTACTATTTTCATTAAGAGGGCATCTTTCATTTTTATAATCTGTACTATCATTTCTTTTTTTAGAGTTCCATTTTTAATATAACTTCCTGTGGAAAGCAGGCTTATAATATGATCCCTTATCCCTGACTCATTAAGAGTTTTTAATACTATTCACTTATTCAAAAATATCTTAAGACACATAGCAAGTGTTCTGCATATGCAAAACCATTTTCCTTAAAAGGAAAAAAATATTCCACACTAAAATTTTGAGAGTTTCCACCACTCATATGCTGAATCACATGCAGTCTTTGGCTCTGGTAATTCTGAATATAATAGTACTAACTTGGAAGTTTTCCAAAATAAGCTTAACTGCTTTCTGGACATCAGTATCCGGGTTATTTCCTTCCTTGGGCACAATCCAGGCTTTTCTGATTCAGTAATGGCATCCTAGAATTTTTTAATAACACATTTTTTAAAATGCTTGTTACCACTAATGTATTTCATTAAGAATCTATTTTTGAGAAAAGGCCTAAAACTTGTACTTTTTATTTGTATACTCATAACTGAGGGGAAAAAAAAAAACCTCAGGAAGTTTTGGTTACAGAGTACATATATAGGGCCAGGGAATTTAGCTCAGTGGTACCACTGCCTGCCTCGCAAGAGCAAGGACCCAAGTTCAATCCATGGTACAAAAAAAAA